GACGCTCCCTTCTAGTCGCAAACTAAACCCGTAACAATATTTTAAACAAACCAAAATTATAACAAGCACATCTAAAAGGAATGATATTCCCAACACGCTTTCATATTATTTTTTTTCTTCCATGTACATTGAGTTTTGTAAATGCCCTGCCTAGCATCATCGATGTGCAATCAATAGCATTTTGAAATATGCAAATTAATGTATAAATGATTAAATTCCTCAACTTCTCAAAAATTAAGTTTTGTTTGCGGCTCTTGAGCACTGTCATCTTGACCACAGTGATTCTACGGCTGGAGATGGAGCTGCAAAATCTAAAAACGTCGAACAAAACGTGAGTGGTCGACGTTGCCAGCACGTCTTGTATGACGTTTACGACATTTAGGTGTGAACGCGACGTCGCTGAAAAGTCACTGACGGGGTAATAATGTAATGTCATCCTGGACTTTATTTTAACTTCGAAGAAACGTGAGTGTTCGACGTTGCTAAAACGTCTTGTCTTGACGTCGTGGCGACGATGACGACGTTAAAGTTGAAACGTGACGTCGCCAGCACGTCACGGACAGGACGACAATGGAACGTCATTTATGAACTTCAGTTCAACGTCAAAGAAACGTGAGCGTTGGACGTTGTGAGAACGTCCTGCATCGACGTCGTGGGAACGTTGACGACGTTTGAGTTGATATACAACGTCGTCACAACGTCACTGATCGGACTCTAATGGAACGTTATATAAGGACGTCACCTCAACATCGAAAAAACGTGATCGAAGTCATGCCGGACGTCACGGACGTCCGGGACTTTTTCTCGACGTTTCCACGACGTTTTGTGCTGCCTGGGGTACTTCTTCTTCTTCTGAGGCAATGATGGGCGAGATCAGGCGAGATGCCCCACGAGAAAGGAAGTCACGTGTGTGCGCCGAGGGCTGGCCCGGCTGGCTTGCGGTTGAATCCGCCGATATCGTGGAAGCGACTTTTCTCGGATCCAGATCGAGGTCTGGAGCGGGAGCTAATCTAAAACAACCAGTGAAACACGTCGGTCTCGATCCCGATCGCCAAGTGAAATAGGCTCGCTCCACAAAAGTCGAGCCCGGCGCGCTCCAAAACGACCAGTGGAATTCGCCATAAGGTAATCTAATAACGTTGGGAATTGCACGTGTGTCGTACTAATGGAGGCCTTGTGGTACTAATGATGGAACAAGATAAAGAAGCTCCGAAGCGGATGATGCGATGCCTATATATTCGAGACCTTAGTACGATGCGACGCAGGAATTGAATACAAGAGCTGCGGAAGCGTTCATTTATAACTCGGGTTCAGTCAATTTGTTGACGGCACAGCAGTGTCTCTAGATTCCCTTGATGTATAAAAAATTATCTCGGCTTTTATGTGGGTCGGTGCATCGTCCTTACCGGTTGTATATTTGTCACCATCGAAACTGAGAGATACCGAAAGAATTGTAAGGTAAAAACACACTTCTCGACTGCTGTCGACTAACGAAATGATGTGCCCGGAAAATACTGAACACAACAGGTCGATTGCCACAATTAGTACGGTGAAAGGTGAACGGTGAAACTGATATTTGAGCCACCAGAAGGCCCTGAATTTCGAAAGGGGTTTATAGACGCAATTGTAACTGGTTTATAGACACTGTACACACGCGCCAGGTTATAACCGCCGTTGCCGACCTTCTATTGTCTTACCCCCAGCGACTGAAACTGGCGTCGACGAGCCTCCATAAAGGCCGATGCTGAGGAGAAGGGCGCAATAAAATCTAAAATGGCAATGACCTGGCCTGCAACGGTAACGATGAAGTGAAGTAAACGAAATAAGAGAAAACAAAAATTAAAGACGTTTACAACTTCCTGTAACGCCGATTTAGAGCGCAGCTCTTGAGGAGGAGGAGGAGGAGGCGAGGGTATGCCCTTCCTCCTCCGCCGTACCCTCTCCTCCTCCCCTCCTCCTTTTACGCGCGAAATGCGCGTCGTCACGTGACGTTTCGGCGCGGTGCCAAAACGACCGTGCGATGCATTGTGGGAAACGTCCCATAATGCACCGCGGTACATTAAGGGACGTTTTCCATAATGCACCGCTCGGTTACGCCGACGCCGACGCAGCTCAAGCCGGAAACGGGCGTCTGAAAGCTGCGGTCTAAAACTGAAGGTCGGTTATGGCGGCGCCCATGCACAGCTACTACAAAGCGTCTATAGACCCCTTAAAAAATTATGCCCTCTTACGGTCGTTCTCATAATCTGATATCTGACTGACAAAAAAGAAAAAGAAAACACACACACACAAGCTGGCAAGTCTAACGAACAAACGAAGAGTGGAACAGCCTCTCCGAAATTTAAATAAACTCGCCATCAAACAAATTATTAAAAAACATCAAGATTGAAAAGCTGTTTGTGAAAAGTTGACTGCTTTGTTTTGTTTCATTGTTTGTTGTGTTTCCATATCATTATTCAATAATAATATAGAAATGCAACAAACAGTGAAACAAAACAAAACAGTCAACTTTTCATGGATAATAATATAGAAATGCAACAGTGAAACAATTCAAACCAGTGAACTTTTACAAACAACTTTCCAATGTTTTTTTTTTTTTTAATGATTTGTTTGATGACGAGTTTACCTGTACTTCGGAAAGGCTGCTCCATTGTTCGTTAGATTGTTCTGAACTCCCGCGGGAGGGGATTCGATTGATCATTGGAGCGCTGTGTGGGAGTTTTGTTCCTTGTGTGTGGTTTGATTTCTTGTGTGAGGCTTGATTGACAGTTTTGTTTAGTGCGCCGCAACGTCAACCAACTTGAACAACCAACTTGCCCAATCTGAAGTTCTAATAGTTTTGCCAGCTTGTGCGCACGCGAGTTTGCAGTATTATCAAATCGATCACGAGAGAAGAAACTTCTTTGTTTTTGCGAATGTCGGACCGCAAAATTTGAGAGGCAGTCCAATCGCTGAGAGGCATCAGCACCTACGGAACCCCGAGTGTGAAGGCGTAAACGAGGGCTCTCTGCTCGAGGCAGGAGCGACGGCGAGCCTCTGAAGACATGAAAGTTGGGACAGTATCCTGGCGCTGATGGCCCTGCGTTTGCTGCTTCTCTTACCGCTTTCGGTTTTCATCGGAACCCCAATCAAGATCTGCCGGTGCGCCGACATAGTCCGAAAGAATGTCTCATTCAATATGGATATGCTCGGCGTTAGGGTCGTCAGACCGCAGATGCAAGGCTCTACATGTAACGACAAGGACGGCTGCCGACCCATGCCGTCTAATGTCGGTATTCCTGGTGTCGTCAGAAATTACCGTCGAAAGCGAAGAAACACGACGCCATTGGAGGTGCCAACACTTCAGCATATCATGAAAAACCGCTTTCTGGCCCGAGAAGACGATTACTATGACGACAGAGAAGCACGCGCGAGATGGCCTAGGAGACGACTGATTTTAGTACGACGGCGAAGGCGCACAACAACTGAAGCAAGTGCACAGATCACCGCTGACATTACTGTTGCTGAAGATACGTCGACCGCCCGAGATGCTTTGTTTGACGACACGTTTAGCGAGGACACCGGTGGAAACTACGAAGGCGTTAGGGCTTCTGAATTAGAGCACTTAGAAGATGGGATCGATGGGTCCCAAGACTGGAACAATGCGAACGCTGGTAGCTCCGATGAAAAAAAATCATATGAAGATGTTGATATGGGTGGCCTTGGAAAGCTACCCGAATCCCTTGTGAGATCTCTCGTTTCCTGGAACCGAGACAACGTTCATCAAAGTCAAAAATTAGATGAAAACATAGCGAACATGCTGCGAACAAACCAATCGGTGTTGTTGTATTCACCTGAACTAAACTCTTCAGAACATTTTGATAATCAGATTATCTTCCTTCGACAAAGAAGACAGGGCCCACCACCACCTTGGGCCAGACGGCCAGGGCCACCAGGTCCCCCCGGACCACCGGGATGGCCAGGCCCTCCAGGACAATTTGGTCGGCCAGGACATCCTGGGCCTCCCAGACCACCTGGGCAGCCTGGGCCTCCCGGACCCCCTGGTCCGCCTCGACCTCCTGGACCATCTGGACTACCAGGGGCTCAAGGACCACCTGGACGGCCTCCTGGACCACCTAGACCACCGGGGCAGCCTGGACCTCCTCGACCTCCAGGAGTCCCTGGTCTACCAGTACCTCCTGCACCACCCAGACCGCAAGGTCCCCCTAGACCACCAGGCCAACTAGTACCTCCCCGACCCCCTGGGCAGCCAGAGCCTCCAGGACCTCAAAGACCCTCTGGCCCACCAGGACTGCCTGGACCACCCAGGCCCGGTCAGCCTGGACCTCCAGGACCACCTAGACAACCAGGACCTCTTGGACCACCAGGGCAGCCAAGACCTCCTGGACCTCCCAGACCTCCTGGGCAACCAGGGCCTCCTGGACCTCCAAGACTACCCATCAAATCTGGGCCTCCTGGACCACCCAGACCACCTAGACCACCTGGGCTTCCAGGGCCCCCTGGTCCTCCCAGGCCACCTGGGCAGCCAGGACTTCCTGGGCCACCAAGGCCGCCTGGACCAGGGCATCCTGGACCCCCCCGACCACCTGGCCAGCCAGGACCTCCTGGTCAACCAGGGCATTCTGGACAACCTAGACCACCTGGTAAGGTAGGGCCTCCTGGACCACCCAGACCACCTGGACCACCGAGACCGCCAGGACACCCAATGCAGTCTGGACCACCGAGACCCCCCGGACCTCCGAAACCAGTAGGACCACCAATGCCACCTGGGCCACAAAGGCCACCAGGACGAACACCACCTGGACAACCAAGACCGCCAGTACCTCCTATGCCTCCCGGACCACCAAGACCAGCAGGGCCTCCAATGCCACCTGGACCACCAAGACCATCAGAACCGATTCCACCTGGACCTCCAAGAGCCCCTGGACTACCAGGACCTCCAATGCCACCTGGACCACCACGACCCCCCGGACTCCCGAGACCCCCAGGACCCCAAATACCTACTGGACCAGCAAGGCCCCCCAGACCGCCAGGACCACCAATGCCACCTGGACCACCAAGACCCCCTGGACCACCACGACCACCAGGACCTCCCGTGGCTCCTGGACCTGGACCACCAAGACCACCCATGGTACCCGGTCCCCCTGAACTACCAAGACCACCAGGACCTCCAATGCCACCTGGACCACCAAGACCCCCTGGACCACCAAGGCCAAGACCTCCATTATTACCAGGTCCACCAAGGTTTCCTGAACCATCGAAACACCCAGGACCTCCAGTGCTACCTGGACCACCAAGAGCACCGGGACGAATGCCACCTGGACCACCAAGACCTCCTGGACCACCAAGACCACCAGCAGCTCCTATGCCTCCTGGACCACCACGACCACCAGGTCCTCCCATGTCTCCAGGACAAGGTCCGCCAAGACCACCAGGACCTCCAGTGCCACCTGGACCAGCAAGACCAAGGCCTCCATTACCACCGGGGCCACCAAGGTTTCCTGGACCACAAAGACCACCAGGACCTCCCATGCCACCTGGACTACCAAGACCCCCAGGACCTCCATTTCCACCTGTACCACCAAGACCAGCAGGACCTCCAATGCCACCTAGACCACCAAAGCCTCCTGAACCACCAAGACTTCCTGGACCACCAAGACCCCCGGGACCACCACGACCACCAGGACCTCCCATGCCTCCTGGACATGGTCCACCACGACCACCAGGACCTCCAATGCAACTTGGACCACCAAGACCCCCTGGACCACCAATACCAAGACCTTTACCACCTGGTTCACCAAGGTTTCCTGGACCACCAAGACCACCAGGACCTCTAATGCCCCCTGGACCACCAAGACCAAGACCACCATTACCACCGGGTCCACCAAGGTTTCCTGAACCACCAAGGCCACCAGGACCTCCCATGCCACCTGGACCAAGACCCCCTGGACAACCAAGACCCCCAGGACCTCCATTCCCACCTGGGCAACCTGGACCACCAAGACCAGCAGGACCTCCAATGCCACCTGGACCACCAAGACATCCTGAACCACCGAGACTTCCTGGACCACTAAGACCACCGGGACCACCTCGACCACCAGGACCTCCCATGCCCCCTGGACCTGGTGCACCACGACCACCAGGACCTCCAATACCACTTGGACCACAAAGACCCCCTGGACCACCAAGACCACCAGAACTTCCAATGCCACCTGGACCAAGACCACCTGGACTACCAAGACCCCCAGGGCCCCCATTTCCACCTGGACCACCAAGACCCCCAGGACCACCACGGCCACCAGGACCTCCCATGCCACCTGGACTTGGTCCACCAAGACCACCAGGACCTCCAATGCCCCCTGGATTACCAAGACCAAGACCCCCATTACCACCTGGTCCACCGAGGTTTCCTGAACCACCAAGACCACCAGGACTTCAAATGCCACCTGTACCAAGACCACCTGGACTACCAAGACCCCCAATACCTCCATTCCCACCTGGGCCACCTGGACCACCAAGACCCCCGGGGCCACCACGGCCACCAGGGCCTCCCATGCCACCTGGACCTGGTCCACCAAGACAACCAGGACCTCCAATGCCCCCTGGACCACAAAGACCAAGACCCCCATTACCACCTGGTCCACCAAGGTTTCCTGAACCACCAAGACCGCCAGGACCTCCCATGCCACCTGGACCAAGACCACCTGGACTACCAAGACTCCCAGGACCTCCATTCCCACCTGGGCCACCTGGACCACCAAGACCCCCGGGACCACCACGGCCACCAGGGCCTCCCATGCCACCTGGACCTGGTCCACCAAGACCACCAGGACCTCCAATGCCCCCTGGACCACCAAGACCAAGACCCCCATTACCACCTGGTCCACCAAGGTTTCCTGAACCACCAAGACCACCAGGACCTCCCATGCCACCTGGACCAAGACCACCTGGACTACCAAGACTCCCAGGACCTCCATTCCCACCTGGGCCACCTGGACCACCAAGACCAGAAGGACCTCCAATGCCACCTGGACCACCAAGACCTCCTGAACCACCGAGACTTCCTGGACCACCAAGACCACCAGGACCACCAGGACCTCCCATGCCTCCTGGACTTGGTCCACCACGACCACCAGGACCTCCAATACCACTTGGACCACCAAGACTCCCTGGACCGCCGAGACCAAGACCTCCATTACCACCTGGTTCAGCAAGGTTTCCTGGACCACCAAGACCACCAGAACCTCCCATGCTACCTGGACCAAGACCACCTGGACTACCAAGACCCCCAGGGCCCCCATTTCCACCTGGGCCACCAAGACCCCCAGGACCACCACGGCCACCAGGACCTCCCATGCCTCCTGGGCCTGGTCCACCAAGACCACCAGGACCCCCAATGCCCCCTGGACCACCAAGAGCAAGACCCCCATTACCACCAGGTCCACCAAGGTTTCCTGAACCACCAAGACCACCAGGACCTCCTATGCCACCTGTACTACCAAGACCCCCAGGACCTCCATTCCCACCTGGGCCACCTGGACCACCAAGACCAGCAGGACCTCCAATGCCACCTGGACCACCAAGACTGCCTGGACCACCGAGACCAAGACCTCCATTACCACCTGGTTCAGCAAGGTTTCCTGGACCACCAAGACCACCAGAACCTCCCATCCTACCTGGACCAAGACCACCTGGACTACCGAGACCCCCAGGGCCCCCATTTCCACCTGGACCACCAAGACCCCCAGGACCACCACGGCCACCTGGACCTCCCATGCCTCCTGGACCTGGTCCACCAAGACCACTAGGACCTCCAATGCCCCCTGGACCACCAAGACCAAGACCCCCATTACCACTGGGTCCACCAAGGTTTCCTGAACCACCAAGACCACCAGGACCTCCCGTGCCACCAGGACCGCCTATGATGCCGGGCCCGCATAGACCAATCGGGCCTCCTATGCAACAAGGGCCTCCAATGGTTCTAGGTCCACCAAGACCGCCAGGACCTCCAATGCCACCAGGGCCGCTTGGACCCCCAGTGTTCCCTGGAGCACCACCGATGCCAGGACCACCCATACAACCGGGGCGGCCTCCATGGCCGGGAGGACCACAAATGCCACCAGGGCCGCCATTCTTTCCAGGACCCCAGTTTCCTAGTCCTCCGAGGCAACCGAACGTTGAGGAAGAAGAACCGTGTGAGCCAGAAGAGACGGTCACCACCACTCCCAGACCAAGGACGAAATGCACGACTCTCGTGCAATCGTCTTGCTTTGAGGTCGACGGTCAAGGATTACCGCTGAAAGGCTTTAGAGCTGCAACATCGGGAAGGGCTGAGAGTATGAACCGAAACGCCATAACGGCCAAAAGGTTCGACTCGAAAGCGTACTTCCGGAAGCGTCCGGTTGTTACCGCTAAGCCTCCCGCAAAAGGTGGTGGAAAGAACAACGCCAGTGAAACGGACATCAACAGAAATGAAGGCGACGACATTAATGCGAACGATTCCAGCTCAGTCGGACGGAAGATCTTCGGCAGCAAAAGTTTCTTCCGTGGAAGACCTGGGGAGTCAGATTCGAGCAACAAAACATTTGGAGAGAAGGCATTTTTCAGAGGCAAGAGCTCAGGCGGTTTGTTTTCCGGCGGAGCCTCAGGCAAATTTGCATGTGCCATTTACGGTTCTACGATACCTATTATCCTAGTTGTCTTGGTCGTCTTTTGGTACCACTGGCGAGAACGCAAGATTCGAAGGGACTACCGGCTTTTGGGGTCATTCCATGACTCACGGTACCCTGAATTCCACTTTGATCCCGACTGCGATGATTGTGACTACAAAAAGGCCCAAAAGCTACGTGAACCCGTGAAGACCTGATCTGCAGGCTAGACTTCGTTCTCCGCTAACTTTCCACATAAGTCGTCTGTACATAACCATCATCCAACACTACACTGTTGTGATCAGGGGCGATTCTCTATTAAAATGAACCCCCTTAATGCAGTAACTCTTTGTTAATTTAAATGTTTTAGGGAGGAATAAAAGCAACCACCTCAAATCGGGTTTTAGCGATTTAGTTCTTAGACTTATAAAATAAAGACCCAACGCAAATATAGAGGTGGCGTCGGAACCCCCCGCCTCCATCTCCTCTCTTGACTTCTGCATGTGTAACTATTTAGAGTGCGGATAAAGGGCGGGGGGGGGGGGGGGGGGGGGGGGCAGCGCGTGTTTCAAATATCTCACACGCCGACCCGACCCCCCCCCCCCCCCCCCCCAAGCCCGATGCCTCCAATCTCTCACTAGCGCGGAATGAACATATCTGCAACGGAAGTACCACTACGATTTACAAGGCGCAGATAAGTCCCCCCCCCCCCCCCCCTTTTCCTCTTTCAAAGTCAGAGATATAGAGACAAGATTAACTGTCTTCTTTTGATGTTGAACGTTGAACCACCGAACTCCTGACTCTTTCGTTCTGTTTTTTGTGCCCCGCCAGGTAGGGTGACACAACCCATCTGGTGAACAAGGGGCAGTCGTGTACTGACCCTCAATACTATCGTATTGCGATGCGACCCAATGACGACTCCACCGCATACTTTGCGCAGGACCTTGAACTCCGACGGAGCGCTCCTTGGGTGACCGATTGCTCATGGCCAACTCGAGGGAAAGATTATATGGGCGAGGATGACTAATGTACGGACACCATTGCGCGAGGTTATATTTTACCAGAGTATGTATACGAGCCTACCCACGAAATAAACAATGGGCCAAAGCAACTTTGCAGTACCGTCGTAGACATGGGCTGGACGTGACGTCATCGCATTATGCTGGTGGCCATTTCTACATTCGATGGAGCAAAATGTATGTTCCAGAGATACGTGTTCAGCGTCAAGGTCACCACAATGTCCGTTTGTGTGGCGTCGGTGCAAACCGTGTACGAGAAAGACCTATGCGTCTGCCCATCATTTGTGCGTTCGTAGCTCTGAAGATACATAAACCCAGCAGCATGATCCTCGTTCAGCCGACAATTGCAGTTAGGTAAGTTCAGATAACCCATGATCCTCGTCTGCTCGATTGACGCAGTGACATGCCAATCGAATAGTGGCTAAAGTCGAATAACGCAGTGTCATGAATACCTAGCTTCAACACTGTATGTACATTTTCAGCGCTCTCCACCCAGCCGAAAAAAATTGGTCGGTGTATAGATGTACACCGACCAACCTGCACACATTTCCGTAGAACTACACGTAGCGGCACAAGAAATGAGTGTGTGTGTGTGGGGGGGGGTTAACGCTTCGCCGAGTCGCGCTTGAGAGTCGCGTGAACTGTCCCTGCCGCAGAGGAGGCGAGCTCGCTCGGCCGCTGTCCACATGCAGCGAAGATTCTAGAATCACGGCTGGCCGGAGCGGCGTCTATCGCCGTTTCAATCAGACCGGAGCGCGTCTCATCGAAGCGAGCAAACGAGCAAGCCAGCAGATAAGAAGTTGCTACACAAACCACTATCGTTGGTTGTCTATGAATTGCGATGACATTCGTCTTGGACAACCTCGAGGACAAACTTTCGGACAACCTTTAGGACGACATCGAGGACGACGTCAAGGTCGTCAGATCCTTAGAAGAGGGTGCGAATGTGAAGAAGTGTGAGAATGTGAGCGGAAATGGTCTACTGCGCATACCTACTGCGCATTAAAAGGCCAGAAAGTCCAAGATATCAGGGGGGGGGGGGGGGGGTAGCTAAAGAACGCAATCACATTAAAAGGACGCGCGTGCGCATTGCGCGGTTCTCGGCAGCAGGCACGGCGCGCCGTCAGGGAGCGCGGCGATGCCAATCGGTCAGCACCTCCAAGACAGCTTCCAAGCCTGCGGGTCACGTGACATGACGTCACGTCCGGGAGGCCGGTATGGGCGCTGATTGGATGCGAGTGCCGCGTCAGCGTTCGCGTGGGACTATACACTCTAAAAAGGTCTGTGCGTCTACTTTCACGCACACCACTCGGAGACCCAATCACCGCAACCTCCGGAGGCAGCTCAGCGAATGGTGATGCCGAAACATATGTTTAGACCAAAAAACACAGTCCGAGTTGTGACATTATGCAATGCAAGCGTGACGTTTTGCATTGCTTAATGTCACAACCCAGACTGCGTTTTTTGGTCTAAACATATGTTTCCGCATCGTCATTCGCTGAGCTGCCTCCGTAAGTTTCGGTGATTGGCTCTCCGAGTGTTGTGCGTGAAAGTAGACGCACAGACATTTTTTAGAGTGTATGATAGGGAACGAGCCCCACGCGAACTCTGACGCGACACTCGCATCCAATCAGCACCCGTGCAGGCCTCCCGGACGTGACGTCAAGTCACGTGACGCGGAGGCTTGAAAGCTGTCTAGGAGGTTCTGAATCGGTCAACGCTCCGGTGCTATCTGTGTGACGTCACTTCCGTGACCATGCTTTCGTGACGTCGATCTCCCAACTTATGACCCCTTTCCAAGCGCGGAGAAAGATGTAGTTCTACGTCAAAAGCCGAGTCACTGGGATGTGGAAGTGTGCTCGACGTCTGTATTTTGCCGAACATAAGTATACAGATATTAGACACTCACAGAATGCGTCTGAAAATCCTGAAAACAAGAAAGGTAGGACGCAGAAGGCCGATTTTAGAATGGTCTACAAAAAAGCGTCATGTACGGTGTAATTTTGTTTTTGCACCGCGAAATCTACGAATGACGCAGCGCTGTTCAGTTTGAACCACTATTCGAAAACCCCTACCTATTGATGCTAAACTTATCACCCGGGACAATGCCTGCTCATTGCACCATCGTTAGTGAGTGTCCGACTTGCTGCAAGCGGCGACCGCTTGCCGAGTTTCAAGGGTACTGTAAGGATCCACAAATCGTTATGAGGAAGAAAGGTGCGTGAGTTTCTCAGCGCCGGATCCGGGAACGTTGCGATATAATCGTCCGAGACAAGAAAACAGGTATCATCGGTAAGATACTGCGACAAGACGTCTCTGATATCGTCAGCTGCCTGGCGGTCAAGACGTGGCGACGACGTGGATGAAGCGCGGTCGGTCCCCATAGCGACTCTTCGGCCAGAATGGTGGTACCTGTAGAGGGAGTGTCAAGCCGATGTCGTCCTACAAAACGTTTAGTAGGGCATAGCTGGACCGTTGATGCCAGTGAGCGGGGCGTTCGCACCATGTGCACCAAGAAGTAAAGCAGGGGACCGTCCGGTTTATTCCAAAGGCATGGGCGTACCAACCGGGGGGGGGGGGGGGGGGGGGGGGGGGGGGGGCAAGAAGGGCGCTTGCCCGCCTAGTTCTCGGAGTGGGGGGAAAGGCATGTGTTTTGCCCCCCCCCCCCCCCCCCCCTGAAACAGGCGCCACAGGGATAGCAAGGGCACCGCCCCGGCCCTGAGGGAGGAGGTGGCCGTCTGGTTTGCCCCCCCCCCCACTAAAACCAAGTTGGTACGCCACTGTCCAAGGACCAAGGGTGTATGGTTCGCATATCGTGCATCGACCTTTATAAATGCGTTAGCATTTATTATTCTGGCGTTTGCAGCTGTCTTAATGTGAGCTCGTTTCGAGCATGCCCTCTAAACACCGCCCTCAAATATGGCGTCCAGGCAATGCCTCGTATGAGTTTTTTTCAATGACGTCATTTCGTCCGCCATTTTGTTGTTATGAGCAGTCTGGCGTGTCCACGAGGCGAGCACTCCGAAGATTCACGTCACCACCCTCAAATTGGTAGTCCACAAGATACTACAAGTTTGATCACGGTGACATCTAACAACGAAATGGCGGATTTACGTCATGTACTCTACAGACCGGTCTCACCAAGCGTGCGGCAGTACGGCCTTTACGGTTTTTGTTCACAGGAGGCAGACGGCGGTGCACGACACGGTTCGTGCCGTCTCGCGTTCTACGCGCGCACAGCTCCGGCGAAGTTTTCGCATGTACAGAAAGGCTAAAATTCCCTTGATGCACTGCGGCAGCGGGTGCGTAGTCAAACTGGCGGGTAAGATCGGTCTATTGCCCCTCCACGTCATTTTCCCGCAGCAAAGAGGGAAATAACGGAACTGCACAGAACTAAAGTCCCTTGATGCTTCCTTTTACAAGTAATGACAACTAAACGAATGACGAAGCACATTCCGTACGAACAAAATGACGTCATTCAGTTCACTTTTCTATTGTGCGCCGCCATTCACTTCCTCAAATCTGCCCCGACACGCAGTTGGCACTTCAAAGAATGTCGTTACTTGTAGGAACTTTACACAGAACTGCACAGGTCCAAACACGAACCTCACCAACACCACCTGGAATAATCAAAGCCTACGCATCGCCTCCTCTCCCTTCATGAAACGTCATCACAGCAGAAACACACTAAATCGGCTATTGGGCCCGAGTCCGACTTTCGATGCGCTGATTGAACACGAGCCCTGGCCGAACACTGACGTAGCATTCGTGCCCAATCACGATCCTCGATCGATCTGACTGTCATGACGGTGCGGAGACCTTCTGCTTATCTAGGTGCTGTTGACCTCACCCACTACAGTCGACGACAGCTTTAAGAATTACGCGTGGCGTAGCGAGTCCCCAGCACTTCTATGTCGTTCCGTAGCCCATGATTTTGCTACATTAGCCGATGAGAGCGCCGAATAACTAATCACCAAGGAAGTAGAGTAAGCCACTCCCCCCGTTTCGTTCACTTGTTAGTGTTCGTTGATGCTGTTCCAATTCTTTTTGAAAACAAACAAATTGTTGGTCAGTTGTTTAGACTTGCAGGAGCAATTAGTCTGTCGAACCATGGTGACATTTTTACCTACTGTATATGAGAAATTTGGCCAGCGCAGTACGATTGCTAGTCTGGTGACTTTAGCGTAAATCACGCAGTAGTGCTGTTGATCTCACGCCTGAACTAGAGCCACTAAATGATCTACGCTTAGAGTATCGGCACTGCGTTCTCCGATCTGCTAGTGGGCGCCGCCATATTCGTGCTTAGTGCAGAACAGACGCATCTGCCGATCGTCAAAATTAAAATAATTTCGACTTCCTCAGCTTTAGATGTAAAATTAGGAAGCCCAGGTGATATTGTTTTGTTTCAGGTAACTGGCAACCATGAATTCAAGCACCAAGACGGCTGAAGTGTCGTACAATGAATAACAACCAGAATTAATTGGGGTTGTGTGGATATTTATACAGCGTGAAGTTGGTCAGCCATTTCAAAGTTGCGACGAGAGTCACTCGCTGTAGATGAGCAATTTAGCCAGTGCGGTACAACCGCTAGCGTGGGGTCTTTAACGTGCACCACGCAGTAGTAATACACGACCGCACGCCGGTACGATGCTCATCCAGATCGAAACGGGCAGGGGTGGGGATTGATAACAGCCAGAAAAAAAAAGAGACAACAGTTTCTTGGAAGCTCGTGATAGTTGCGGGGCATTCCTAGCGAATTCCCGCCACAATCGATCAGGCACACAAAGTGTGCCCAGCTCACGTGCTTCGCCCAGCGCCTCTTGGCAACTGTTATTCGTCGGTCGCTATGGATACTCCACTGGTGCGGTCACGCACCCTGCTCCCGCAGTTCCGGGTTTGCGTAGAGTTCGGCTCCCGTTGTATGGTGGAAAGTTCGAGTTGTGAAAGTGCGGGTGAGTGGAGATTTATTTTCAATTATATCTTTGCCCTTCCGAAGTTCCGTGCTTCACAAACGTGGGGAGTTAGTAAGGCACGTTATGCAGAAGGGCCGTGACTTACTTGGAAAAAGTGACTTGAATGCATTTGTACGGTAGTATTGGTGGCCGAGTGTGTTAGCGAACCGCAGATTGAAGCACGTGAAGCGAAAGCTCGCCCGGCAGAACCCAGGGATCCTGCGATCAATCTTTACTCCTGCTCGTTTCGTTCTCGGTTAGCATGATACCGGCGTGCGGTTGTGTATCACTGCCGCGTGAATGTACGCTGAAGTTCCCAGACTAACTGTCGTAGTGCACTGACTAAATTTATCATCTACAGCAGAGACGCCGGATGGCCCATTGGAGCTAACTTCAAGCTCTCTAAATTTTCTGTTAAAAAAGAAAAGTCAAAACAGAGCGCAGGAGACAGAGGAATGTAACTAAACAGAACAAGCGCTCCTTCGCCCTTTCTGACGAAGAACTAACTCGCCCATATTTCCTCCTTAATTCAGGTCGGTTTATTTCTGTTCAGTTGGAGGTTCGTTCGCACAAAATAGTGTCGCAATGAACGGGAGCCTTGCGAACTCAGATGGTTTCAGGTTAAAGTGTTTAGTTGTAAAAAAAAAAAAAGATAATAGAGTACATAAAAATAAACTGCAATAATAATACAATTAGTCATTAAGCACTATAAGTAATGAGATTTAAATAAAAATGCATGAGGTAACACCAAACCTACCTATTGAAGGAACAAAATCGCATTTTCAGGAAAAGTAATCAGGGGTAAGGCGTTTTGTATCCCTGGTGAGTTGATTAAAGTTTGCATTAAAAGTGACAGTGGAGAGTCTATATCTATCAGTAATCTCAACGATTTCTTTTTTAACCATAATAATGCATTCATCAATCGCTCTTCACGGTGGTCAGATAATAAAAAGAATTATTTTATTACAAGTTTATTACGGTGGTGCAAGAAACCTTTAACGCAGGATGCACGTCGAGGTTTTCATGACTAGCAGCAGTATGAATCCCTCTAATTACTTGCGATATGTGACAAAAAAACAACAACAACAACAACTGGGTATGATTGAGGAATCGGTGCACACAAACACTGCCGCATAAAGCTGACCAGTGATATGTCTCCTCTCAGAGAAATATTAGGAAATTATCAACTGGACGCACTTGATTCCTAACTCAATTAATAATGGTTACCTCCTGTTTGGGTTCTTAAAATTCATAGCTACGCCGAGCATGTTCCAAAGGGAAAAGGCTGTTCATAGCTTACAACTACTAGAGGAACCAGCTTCTGGCAGCTTATATTAAAGACCATGTATTGCTCGCCTAGCGAGTCACAACAAAACGCCAACAAGGTTGTTTTTTTTGTTTGTTTTTTTTAGTAAGGAAACTTTTTTTTTGTGTAGATTGTTTGTCGGTGCTGCTAAGCTTGGCTTCTGAAAGATTCAGATAAAATGAAGTAATGAGGAAGGCGTGCTGGTATTAGCTCAAAATTAAGACTAGATGCTAAAGGAACTGGCTGAGACGTCTGTGTTGACTCTGCTTTTAGTAGTTGTTTCATCCCCTGATCCCCATCATAATCGCTTATCAAGCAAGATAAACGGAATATGAAAGAGAAATGTCCTTAGCGTAGATAGGGCGTAGAGTGTCCTGGGATTGAATCAGCAGCAAGGACGCTCGGTGTCGGGTTTTCGACCCTTTTCGAAAGTTTACGCTATCGCCTGTCCGCCATTGCTTGATCACGTGCTCTGAACGCGTACTGGATACGAGGGTGCCGTCAGCGTTCGGCGCGAGCTCGGCTCAGCTCGGATTGAAAACGAGTGTTGCGTCAGCCTCCGGCGAGGACTCGGAACCAATCACGGGCTTCGTTCCCAAGGATGGATGGATGGATGGATGTTAATGGCTATACCCTTTGTAACGGGCGGTAGTACGCCGCACCTAGCCCAGTCAAGATGGTCGCCGAGAAATGGCGACCATCAATGTTGCTTGATGGACTTTTCAAAGGTGTCAACTGGTGTGTTGGCGCCATCCGAGCGTTATGAGGTCCTTGGACGTTGAGGAGGGTGTTCACGGGCTTTGATTGCTTTAGGCTGTGTTGGTAAAATACGTGTTCTGAACCTCAGGGGCCCTAGACTCGTCAAGCACAAAGCTGGAGCCGAACGTTCGCGGAGCGCACCAGTCGGACTTCGTCGAGAAGAGGGGGACGTCATCGTTGCTGGTCCAAGCGGCGCGCTCCGTTAACTTCGGTCCCAACTTTTTATTTTTGATTGAGTCTAGGGCCCCTAATATCATTTTCCTTCGTCTTCCCTCTCTTCAGATATCACATAAAGCGCGAGAGAGTGTATCTTCGAGTTAACGGACACCACCCTTCGGAAACAAACGACCCCGTCACCAGCACACAAGAGGTGGCAACGACAACAAAACACGTTCAACGGGCATGCCGGAAAGCTCGCCGCCATGGCCTCGATGTCTTTCGTGTACAGAGAGCTGCTCTGTTTGTGCATTTCTTTACTGGTCCCCAATGTCGTCGTCGTTTCGGAGGACGGCAGTTGCCTTGGTGCGACGCCGTGTGTCCACGGCGTCTGCGTCGACGTGCCGGAAAACCGCACCTACCGCTGCTACTGTGCGGACGGGTATACGGGCTACGACTGCCAGACGGACTACGACGACTGCCGCAGTCTCCCTTGCCTCTTCGGCGGCACCTGCGTGGACGAGGTAGCTGGGTTCCGGTGCCTATGCAGCGGAGGTTACACCGGTAAGTTGGTTGTCACTGTACATCGTTCTAATATTTGTAAATTCACACTTAAGGGTACGGTTTCTACAACCCCGCACGCGCGTGTTGGTCGCTTCGCAAAGCGAGCTAGAGTTCCTTCTTGACGGAACAGTAGCAGACGCAGTAGATTGCCGTTCAGACGGAACGATAGCAGGCCCAGCAGAGTTTCGTACAAACGGAACGATAGCAGGTGCTGTAGAGTTCCGTCCAGACGGAACAGTAGCGGACGCAAAGAATTCCGTCCAGATGGAACGATAGCAGGTCCAGCAGAGTTCCGTCCATACGCAACGATAGCAGGCCCAGTAGGGTTCCGTTCAGACGGAATAAGAGCAAGCCTCGTAGAGCGCCGTTTGTTTCGTACCGAGGACCCCGTAAAGTCTTGGGAGTATTGTCCCTTTTCGTGTCCAAGCTAGACGAACAATAACAAGCTCTCGGTCATTTTTTTTTTTTGGATACCAAGGTTTTTTTTAATTGTGATTATTTACAAGGTGCAGCTACAATACCAGGTTCTTATTATGCGAACCTAATTACAAAATTATGCCCTGCCACCAAAGAGAAACGTCGTGGGAAGTGGAGACAGAGAGTGCTACTTCATTACGACAATGCACCCAGCCCACGGTGACCTAGCCTCAATTTTTGCACTAGAATGGTTGTCATTCCTAAATGAAGCTTTGAAAATAATGCCCCCCGCGCGCATTCACTGTATATCGCTCCCAGTAACTACACACTCCTAAAAAAAACACTACAGAAGCAATTGCATGGGAGGAGATATTTAATGGGTATATGAGATAATAGGGGCCGCAGATGCGTGGTTTGCGGAGGTTGGACAAAGCACTTTACAGGCAGCAGTATAAATGTTACAAAATTGCTGGGACAAAAAAAAAAGAAAAGACTAAATTAAAATTGACTAATGAACAACGCTAGTCGTTACTCCGGAAATGGGTCAGGGGTGGAGCATATAGGGATCGACCACCGGGTATGCTTCAGTGACGCGTTCCTCTCTTGTCTGGACGGAACTTTAGCTGCGGCTATTAGCGATGTGCGCGGCCAAAAGCGTCGCTGTGGTCAGCTTTCTACGATTGGCCAAACCATGGGCATATGAGCACTGTCAGATTGTCGACATTGACGGTGTTAGCTCCGAATTGCGATTGCTTCTAGCTTCCACTGTGCTTTTTAAACACACCGTCGAACTCGTCGTCGCCCCCGATAGTAAGTAGCCAGAATAACAACTGGTGACGTCACGGCAAGGCAAATCCCAGTCGTGACGTCACGGATGGAAACCATAAGAGGGCGCCACCGAAACATCTCGGCGCTAATAGTTCCCTCTAGACGGAATAGACCGATCTCACCAGCTAGTCTGAGTACGCCACCGCTGCCGCCATGCATCGTGGGAGCTGTAGTCTTTCTGCACGCGCGACAACCCTGCTGGAGGTTTGCGCGAGCAGACCACGAGGCAGCATGAGCTGTCGCGTGAACTGGCGTCTGCCTCCTACGAACTACAGTTATGGCGGCGTCACGCATGCGTGGAACGCTTGGTGGGATTGGTCTAATAGACCAATCCCACCAAGCGTTCCACTAGAGTTCCGTCTGGACGGAACTCTAGTGGTGACTATCGGTTCCGTCTGGACGGAACCCTAGCCATAGCCTTTTTGTGAAGGTCTCGGAAGCGTTCATTGGCGCCAATGGCTGTGTGCTTTGCGATTGAGCGCGTGCTGGCAGTAAGCTTCCTCGAGATTTCTTTTACGCCCCGACAGAACTCTTCATTGAAAAACAAAGGCACCTTAACCCACGTGGTGGTGTTGATGACAACACGTGAATACCTCCTTCTCTTCGTTTCACAGCGAGTCTGCGCGCAGCCGGCGCTACAATGCGATGAAACCTAATGAAACCAAACAAGCATTGAGAAAAAAAAATGCATGGTCACGGAGCTCGTCTTGTATGCGTGTGAGCTACCAACGGCTAAACCAATCAAGCACGAACAAATAAATCATAGGATCAAGGCGCATACACTGTGCTTGATTGGTTTAGCCGACATTAGCAGACACGGGGAGACGCCGAACTTTGGGACCATGCACTTTGGAGGTTGTGGGGGCGGATGTCTTTCGATCAGGGCCCGGCCTCCAGACCTGTACTCCAGGCTCGACTAGGGTGCCTCAATGTGCGTCTGTCATAGAGTGAAGACACCCACTGTTGTATTGAAAACTGCCTGCGCGTGCCGAATGGGCCTTAAAATGGCGCCAAAGCACCTTGCAGGGCTAAGCGCTCGCTGCGAACGAGATCGAAGCGCGCGCGTAGAAATGACCGAGATGCCGCCACCCTAAGACAGACGTGGCGAAAGTGCGCATGAAGGCACCCTAGGCTCGACGTGCACGGAACGCTGAAGCGTCACCGAGGTTAGGAAGCTCGCGCTGGAGGCGGGACAACCGAAGGACCTCCTTGCCGTTCTCATCTTGTCCGTGGCTATAGACGTTTTACACACGCGCCAGACTACGGCCGCCATTGCCGACCTTCTCTTGTCTTACCGAAATACCGAGCCACTGAAACGGTCGTCGACGATCCTCCGCAAAGGCCAATGCTGAGGAGAGGGACGCAATAAAATCTAAAATGGAATGACCTGGCCTGGAATGGTAATGGCGAAGTGAAATAAACGGAATAAGAGGAAACGAAAACTGAAGGCGGTTATGGCGGCGCACATGAACAGCTGTTGCAAAGCGTCTGTACATACTTTAGAAGAAATTTCTGCGGCAGTGAAGATGAAGCTATTGCGCACGCACGCTAGTGCACCTGGAGAGCTGATGAAAGCCGCACACGCAATCGTCACTTCTTTTCCCGGTGCCTGCATGTGTTCCAGGAGAAAGCTGCGAGACGGACATCGACGAGTGCCGGTCCAACCCATGCCTCAACGGTGGCTCGTGCACGGACGACGTGAACGGCTTCTTCTGCTCCTGTTTGCCAGGGTTTGAAGGTCGGAGTTCCGAACGCATTATCATCTCTGCTTATGGCGAAACACCTGCCGTGATTTCAAGTGTGACAATGCTCTACGTAACTTTAATAGACGGATCAGAAGAGCACGTCGTCCTGATCAAACCGCCAAGGCTTTCCCAGCCGCACGGTAAAGCCTCCGGACAGCACCCTTTGCCCAGGCACTTCTTACAGCTGGTAGAAGTGTCTTGGCAAACCCCGAACCTTCAAGCAACGGTGCTTGCGATGTTGAGAAGACCGCGTCGTCCCCCGCTTGTATATATCGCCTCATAATTATCATCACTAGACGTGGCACAGCGGGCCTCCATGGTACGGGCTGTCGCCTTTCCGCAGTGCCACGGCGCTCCTGATCCAATAAAGATTACGATTACGATTACGATTGAGAAAAATAAACTGGAGTAGACGCTAAAAGCCATGACAGCTCCATTCCACCTTTTTGTTTTTAAATCATTGTTTCAGAGGCTTTGGTATGAAAACATATGGTCGCGTCCAGTGGTATCACTAGCGACCATGACAGGCTTTCAAGCGAGAGGGTCGTACCGGCGTTCGTGGTGTGCACGCGCACTCTCTGTCCAAACGCCTCGAACCCCGTAAGATAGATTCAGCGCTGCGTGCATGTCAAGTGACTTCGCGTGTTATCGCGCCATGCGGAAGGTTACGTGACAGTCTTAGCGCCGCATTGGCTCCGAGGGTTCGCAGCGTTCACTTCGGGGAAGGAAGCGTTGTTGACTCTCACTGACTGTTTAAGAAATGAAGAGCCATGGCTTATTATGTTCCCACTTTTACGCTCATTGAGAACTTAAAAAATTCAGGACGTCGCGAGTCCCTATAATCTTTTGAATCGCCCCACATACAATGAAATTGTGGCATTCGAAAACAACTCTGAAAAACAGAACACGAAGCAAGTAGAGTGAACCTAAAGAATCACAATCTGGCTGCGGAATGAAATAATTGCTGGATAAGCGTTAAGTGATAATGCTCCCCAAAATATCGGGACACTACACGTGACCGAAACGTAGGGGTTTCGATTTCGTTTCCGCAGGTGAACTGTGCGAAACAGACATCAGTGTGTGCAACGATACTGCCACGTGCTACAATGGAGGAACGTGCGTCGAGGGTCCAGGAGACAGCTTCCAGTGTCGGTACGAAAGACACGGAACTTATCGTTACTTTTTTTTTCCTGTCTTGTACTTGGTGTTTGGCCAAATCGAATGGGAGTTTTTTTTCTAAAATTTAAGCTCAAGAAGGTTCATACTACGAGGACTGCCGATGCTGCACGACCGTGAACATTCACCTGAAGCAAGCCCAGGGATATGAAATATCATGTGCCAATATTATGTGTTAGATATATTTTATTTTATTTCTTCTCTCGATTTACTGCGTGTTTTTTTTTTATTCTTTTACTAGTACTAGTTTTAATAGGGTAAAAAAATAACTACCAACGAATAGGAAATCATTGGTATCTCAGTTAAGCTCTCGATTGAAACGGATAGCGCTGTTGGGTCGACCTAATCGAAAAGAAAATAAAGACAAAGGCACTAACCTGCTTAAAAGTATAGCGGCAAGTCGATTTAAAATGTCAAACATATGATCGGTAATACATCCTGCACACGTCAAAAAATATTCAAACTTTGTTTTCACGGAATACTTCCTGATGTCTCTGGTTCCTACAAGGTGCGTCGCTGGCTTCGTCGGAGACTTCTGCCAAGTGGACGTCGATGAGTGCTTCTCAAGTCCGTGCCTTAACGGAGGAAAGTGCCAGGATCATCCTGGAGGATTTGTCTGCTCCTGCGACTTCGGTATAAAACCAGCCTTTCACCTTGCTCAGGCTCGTGCGAACTTCACCATCTTAAGACCCATTCACAGAGTAGTGTTTGATTACGTTTGACAAAAGTTTGTCATAACATAAGATCTGCAAAAGAGATTCCCTCACAAATTGAAGGTTAGGCCAAACAGGAGAGGGATGGTGTCCAGGCGGCCCACTTCTGGCTGTAGCAGTTGCTGAACATCATCAGCGTGACAATACATCATATCTTGATTTCCAAGCATATGTATTTGGTAACAGAAACGCACATTATTATTCTTTTAGTTCCAGGGACGTCTGCATGTTAAGGTATCGATTGGATGTCGTGATAAACCGCTAGAGTACATTGATGTCGCGGCCTACACAGAATAATATCGTTTGATTTTATCTTGTGGAGGCTTCAGTCGATACGCACCTGGAGGTCACCACACCAACCAAGTTACGAGGTACCTCGCAGTCGTATTTTGACAGAAGCCCCTGTAACGTTAACCCTTACTTTTTTTGATCATGCCCTGTGCCACAAATATAATAGACCCTTTTCAAAGGTTTCTCGAGCAACATTGGAGGTCGCCATTGCTTGGACAGGAAGCGCGTGATTGGATCCGAGTCCTCGCCGAACGCTGACGTCACACTCGTGTCCAATACGAGCTGTACCGAGTTCACACCGAACGCTTTACCCTCGTGTTCAATCCAAGGGTATGATCAAGCAATGGCGGACAGGCGCTGGCATGGACTGTTTAAAAGGGTCCATTGTAGGCAAAGAACGTATAGCTGCTACCTTATAGCTACTTCTGAATACAACTACTTGCGCATTTGCGCACCACATACATAATCTACACGTTCCTGTCGTACACATTAGGCCTAACTTGCACGCAGGATGGACTGGTGAAGTGTGCGAAGTTCGCCTCCAGGAGTGCGACAGCAACGACTGCCTCAACGGCGGCCTCTGTTTCGTGCCGACCTCCGCCGAAGGGCTCTCCCTGAGCAACGCCTCGTCTGAGTGCTTCTGCGTTCCCGACTATCACGGTATTCGCTGCGAGTCTCGCTACGACGAATGCATTCCGGGAAGCCCCTGCCACAACGGAGGCACGTGCATCGACGGTGTGGACGACTACAGCTGCTCGTGCGCCGTCGACTTTACGGGTGAGGGCCCCGTGGAGCCACGGGTGAAATATGCGCTCTGAGCAAGGTACCGCGGTATCCTTTTTTTACTCTGGTCCGCGGACCACACGTGTTTACAAGTTAAAATTGCGGACTAACTACAGGTGCTGATCATACAGGTATTTGTTTTTAAAGAGATTAGCTTTTAACATGTTTTTAAAGTGATTAGCTTTCTTTGGATCTTCAGGCCACTTGGAGGTATGTTTTTGGCCGGTTTTTTCCCCCGTTAAATTAAGCGGGGTAAATGACGTCACATAAGTTTGTGTAACGTGACCATGGAGTTGTAAGAAATACAACGCCGGAGCTGTTTGTTTACATTTTTTATATTTTAATGTTTCTGAGTCTAGAATCGTTGTTGTTTTTTTTCCTATGTATAACGTCGTTTTTATATTGTCATGTTATATTTTTTTATGTTTTCTGTTTTTTGTGTGCCCCTCACTACAGTAAGGCCTTTTTAGGTGATGTAGGTATTTTAAATAACTAATGAAAAAAATAACTACCGAAATAAATAAATACACAAATTCAGTTTCCTCGCTAGATTTAGCGGGAAAATCGACGTCACGTGACCTCGACACCAAATTCAGTTTTCCCGACAAATTTATCAGAAAAAATATGTCACGTGACTTCATGTCACGTGACCTATATACACATTCAGTTTCCCCGTTAAATTTAGCGGAAAATTCACGCCACGCAACACGATGAAAAAATTTACGTCACGTGACCAATTCAGTCTCCCCGTTAAATTTAGCGAGGAAAATGACGTCACATGATGTCACGTGACCTATGTACAACTTCAGTTTCCCCGCTAGGTTTAGAGGAAAAATTGGTGTAGAGATCACATGACATCAAAATTTGCTGCAAAATCTAGCGGGAAATCTGGATTTTTGTATACGTCACGTGACATCAAGTCATGTGACGTCATTTTCCCCGCTAAATTTAGCGGGGAAATAAACGGCCAGAAACATACCTCAACGTGGCTTTAAAAGCTAATCGCTTTAAAAAGAAAGTAAAGTACCATGTGATTTTCAAGACGTGTGTCTGAAGTCAAGGCTAGGGCCTTCTTGAACGAAAGGTCTTGCTGGGAGACGTCAGTAAGTCTTTCCATGTAGTACGCTCATAACCAAGCCTACCGCAAAAAACTTGACTGAAGTGTAGACTAAATATGAAAGAAACGTTTTATAGGCACCTAATACGAAAATTGTCCCTTTTTTTTTCTTCACTTCTTTATGTTGCAGGTAAATTTTGCGAAGCCTCCTGTCATGAAAACACGAGCCTTTGCGACATGCTCCAGCCAGAAAGTGTTCCGGTCACAGCAGCTCCCAAAACGACAAGGTCTTATCCAGCTGACGTAGCGTCGTCCCTATTCTCAACTGATTTAGTGTCAACTGAAGCCTGGTCTACCCCTTCAGGCTTCTGGAGTTCAACGCCCCTTCTGAGTTCCTCGTTCGATGTCGGCATTTCCGCGTTCCCTAGTTGGACTGCCGCCGTTCCCGAAGGCCCACTCGACAGCGAAACAGTACCCCGGGACGGGAGTAAGATAGGCGCCACAGTTTCAGACACACCGTTCATAGTCTGGTCGAAGACAGCAACGGACTTCAGGGACTTCACAGCTGCCGTCACTTTGAGTTCACCAACCCTTCTGAACTTTACGACACTCCAGTCAAGAATGACGTGGGATGAACCTGTGTCTCAGGTGCAACCTTCCGAGTCGCTCAAGTCGTCGCCAGGCATCATGTCCGTTACTTCGAGTCTACAGACATCTCTTCCATCGGATCTCAGCACTGTGTTCTCGCACGACGTCAGTACGGCGACGTGCGCCCGACCTGGTGCCGCGAGGCCCAGCTATTTACCGCAAACTGTGCAGTTCACGGCGGTAACTAGTCACCCGCAGACTGTGGTTGTTGCAGACACAAGCTCGTTCTATTCAAGTTTTTGGCCATCAAGCATTACTACTTCAATGCCTCGTGATGCTTTCGCCTCGTCGTCGATGCACGATTGGATTGACAAGTCGAGTGTTCCGGTGTCTTTGTATGGTCCACAAGAGTCTACTGGGTGGATCGAGACAACGGTGATCCAAGCATCAGTGACAAAAACATTTTATCAAGAGGTGTCCACGTCTTCGCCGGAAATCGGCATGTCCATCATGTGGAACATTACGAGTCTTGGGCAAAACGGGACCGTGGGTACATCTGAAATGTGTGCTCATTACTCGTGCTTCAACGGAGGAACTCCTCATGTCAAGTCTAGCTCACCAGGTTTATGCCAGGTAAGCATTGCAAAATGTTCGCACCGTACTGAATCGTGGGCTAAAACTTATTAACGAAGACGTAAAGTTTGGGCAGCGACCTAGCTCCAAAGTCCTATAATGCGTAAAATGCAGCATTGAAGGTACGATATTTCACAATGATTTAAAAGATATTAAACTGTCAATTCGGGGAGTGAAGAATCTTTATGTTCATAGATTTCTCCGGTACATTGATAGGAGAAACTGAGTAAATAGGTCACGTGGCATCAATTTCCCCGCTAGATTTAGCGTGGCCGCATGGCATAAAATTTACCGCTGATTTAGATTTAGAAGGTAAATTGTATTGATGTGTCACGTGTCAGGTAACTTGACGTCAATGTGTTTGCCAAACTTAGCGGGGAAACCAAACTGGTGTACAGGTTTCGTGACGTCAGGTCACGTGACATCAAATTTCCCGTTAAACTTAGCGGGGAAAGTGAATTGGCGCATATGTCACGTGGCGTCATGTCACATGACATCAATTGACGTCACGTGACGTCAGCTAATGCGGCAATCTCATTGGCTGCAGGTCGATGATGAGATGTTCGGGACTCGCCATGTCCTGTCAACGTTTTTTAAGGTGTCAGTGACTATGCGGAACGCAAGTTCGTCTGCTTCTTGCGTAGGGGTTGTGGTGACGTCAGAACGCAGAGCTCTGATTGGCTCCGATTGGAAAAACAGTGGGTAGCCCCCAAGGAAGCTAGCATTGGGGTTTACAAAATACCCTTCCAATCGGAGCCAATCAGAGCTCTGCGTTCTGACATCGCTACAACCCCTGCTCAAGAAGCAGACAACTTGTGCTCTGCATCGTGCGTATCCTCTTTATCTAAGTCGTAGGATAATTACGCAGATATGTTCCACTCAATATTTGGATACGTAAATGTCATAGACATGTACTTTGGTACAAATTACCTTATTGACCAGTCGTAATGTGGCATGAGCGCCATTTTCTGTCAGAGAACCGAGCTGTTATTGCTCCTAGAATAGAGGAATGCCAGGGTTAGCAAGAGCAAAACGAAGGATATATCTAGACGTAACGGTGGTATCCCGTGTTTATTGCAGTGCCGGTGTGCGCTCAAATTTTCCGGCTCACGATGCGAGTTGGATGTCAAGGTCCGCACTCCGGAATTCAAGGGTAGCTCTTTTCTAGAGCACCTGGTTCCGAGCAGCCCAGGCGACACCAGCCTGGATTTAGAATTGTCATTCGCCACCGACGTGCACGATGGACTACTGCTTCACGTGGATGGTGGCGAACCCAAAGAGGGATCTTTTTTAAGCCTCTTTCTCGAGGACGGCGTCCTGAAATTTGTCTTCGAATGCGGGCAACACAAGATGGTTTTCATCCGGTCTGCCAGCAGGGTGGATACAGGGTTTTTCACAGCTGTCAGCGTGGAGTAAGTATACACGCCGAATATTCAGCATCCGGAAATCAAAGAGCCTGATCATCCCTACGATGTCAGCATGAAAAATCCCAAATATTGACTGCAATGACTATACTTTGTTTCACCTTATGATAGACTGCCGAGGAAACAACGAGGTATCGAAGTCAATATAATACCGAGTAAGTTCCACATAACCTTTAGGAGGGGAGCCGCGAATTGCGTGGCGCATGGTCGCAATACATTCAGAGTGCTCGAGTGGCTGGCAGAGCTCTTAGCTCTCGCTGCGGTCATTTTAAGGTGAAACAGAAAGTATTGTTTTATAGGTTCTGCGACATGATATATCTCAAAGGCAGAAACACATGTGGAATAAATCAAGTGGGGACTAAACATTCATTTCATGATATAGCGCCTGTTTGATAGAAAATATACAAACTTTTATCACGTCAAGAATAAGTCACGCATCGCCGAACGCTGAACCTCATCTCCGCCAAAATGTAGCGCTAGCGGCTGGGATCAGATAAGTAATTGTGTTGTGTGTATGTTTACACAGCCGGAAGTAGTCAGCCTCAATGGGCATCTAGTGTCTCAGCTGTAGGTGAGGAATTTCGCCAGAGCAGTACCACTGCTTGCCTGGGGTCTTTGACGGAAATCACTCTGTAGCGATATCACGACCGCACGCTGGTACGATGCTCATGCAGGCTGAAGCGGACAGGGGTTTGGATTGAACCAAGGATCCTTGGGTTCTGCAGCGCGTGCTTTCGCTTCGCGTGCTCCGAGCTGCGATACGCTAACACACTGGACTAGCGATCCCCCCCCCCCCTCCCCCGGACCAGATGACAAAAGTTTCAGGGTTAACTGTCATCCGAATCAAACGTTCTAAGCAAATTTTTTTAATCTTCATTGAGATAATGACGGTTAACGAAGGCCGCAAATGAATGAAAATGAATCACATCTTCTAACGGGGACGGGTATCATTTTTCTATTCGAAATTTCCAAAGATCGCTCATTACTTTGATTGGGATAACGATAAGTTCTGAAACTATCATCTGGTACCAACCACAAGCGCTACAGTTAGGCGGAAATTGAGAGTTCGGCAAAACGTGGTTTCTATTTGCAGTGAAAAAAAAGGGCTTTTGATTTTTGTTTTTCCAAAGACCCGGTACATTTTGTTGCCTGTTGTTTCGCTTCCTTGTTCTAGGGGACAAAACCGATTGACATGTAAGGAATTTTTGCGGCTAGATATCTTTCACAGGGGGCATTAGTTCACGCTGACGAAGTAGCCTTCTATAAATTACATTTCGCGTTGAAGTTGTGGCCTTAATTTCAACAGACTGGCGTGGCTTTCCTCACCTTCGAGTCCCAGCGAAAGCAGTTGCACGGCTGTTCTGCGCGTGAACGGTTCTGAACCACAGACGGGACACCAGCCGGCCATTCTGTCTCAGGTCAAGTTTCAGCGGGCGTTCTTGGGCGGTTTTCCTCCTGGATTCAGACATCCACAAGATGTCTCTGGCAAGGGGTTTATCGGCTGCATCGGATATTTTCAGGTACGCGGTTTTGTATTGCAGTGGTCGGTCAAACGATATCAGGAATATCATATAACCTCAAGGTAATTCGACGTGATGGACTGCTGAGCGCGAGGAAGGTCTGCAAGTTGAGATGTGCAGCCATTAGTTGAAATGAATGTCACGTCTTTTAATAGTTCGCTCCCCGATTGGTTCTCACAAGACTGGAAATTTTGAGGCGAGCAAAAACATATAAACGCAAGACTGCATCTTCTAATAGTCTGGATTAAAAGATTCTATATAGAATGCATATGGAGTTGAAGAAGAAGGGAAAAAAAACGCGATCCACATCTATATATTAACAGTTTGATTTTCACCAAACTAAACATGGACGTGCAATGTGCTTGCTCGTTTTTTTGTAAATTATTACTGCGTGACCTACGTTGGAAACTCGAGGCTATCAGAAGTGCAGGGTGCCCTCTCCTCCACTCCCCCCAAAAAACTAAATTTTTTTTTTTTTTTTTAGCAAAATTGAAATAGGCATTTCCGAACGCTCATTTTCCGGCCAAGAATAGCGATAGCGGTCTGAACAAGATGTCAAAGTTTAATAAATAATTTTTTCTCATTCAAAGTTACTAGTATTTTTCAGAAATTTCAACGGGAAATAGAAATTGCAAGAAGCGAAAGTATACAGCTGGGGAGGGAATATCATGATCTAAACCCTGAGACACGGCGAAATAGTGCAACGCACAAGATGGCCCGTCTTCGCCAGACCTGCCCTCATACCCTTACCTTGTTCTGTTAATGCTTACTGTCCAAGGTTAAAGCCTACCAGTTTGTTTATTTTCTTTTTTTTTTTTACGATTTTCGTTACTTGTCACCAGCTGCCAATGCGAGCGGACGTTTTTAAAACTCGCGTTTTTGAAGAAAAAGTTTATGACTACTGATTCATAACCGGCTTTGGTGGCTGCTTTTAGCTTTCGTTGAGGAAGGGGTTGCTTATCTACCAGTGCTAAATCGTTTGTTTTAGCTATTATGCGTCAAACTCGCGAAGACTTCTGCTGTAGAGCAGTAGAACAAGCAAAGTTGAAATGATCAACAACTTTTAAAACTGAATTAGCAGGAAACCTTCGCCGTTGTATGGTGCTCACTGACAGTTGGAAAACTACTTCCCATCCAACGCACTTGTAAATAAAATGTGCTTCAATCGCGATGTGCCTTCACTGTAGCAGTTTCGGTGGAAGGGGAGGGAGCGGGGGGCGCCGCGGTAAAACTCCCCCCCCCCTCCCCTACCTCCAGATGGAGAACTCTGTGCATGATATGCAGTGGCGCCATTCAGCTCCATGTATTCCAGAGCTTTGTCGGGCGCTTAAGAGTTCGGCTTTTAGGCGCCCGTTTCCGGCTTGAGCGGCGTCACCGTCGGCGTAACAGCGCGTTGCATTATAAGACGCTTCCCATAATGACGTCAAGAGGGTTACGAAGGTCACGACCTTCAAGAGGCCTTCACGAGTGACGTCACGAAAGAGGAGGGAGGGAGGTGGAGGGAGAGGGTAAGGAGGAGGAGGAGAGGCATACCCTCCTCTTCGGCATCACAGGAAATTGTAAACGTTTTTCGTTTTTTCAAGGAAAATCGCTTACAACGTTCGAATAAGAAAACGGTTAGTTATGAAACTTTAGCATCTGCTTTGGACCTCTAGCGCTACATTTCGCCGAAGAATGAGCGTTTGGCCATGCGTAGTCTATTTTTTCGGGACAAAACAACAACAACAACAAACATTAAATACGTTTTTTTTTTTTTTTTTTTTTTTTTTGGGGGGGGGGGGGCAATTTTTAGGGCGTTACTAGTCCCGGCCATCTTATTATCGCTCCTCGACCAATCAGATTGTGGTATTTGAAGATAGGACAGCCGAAGAACTAATGATAAAGCAGGAAGCCTGATCATAATTGTCCACGGCGTTTCCCAAACTGTCAATTATTATAGCCCAATTTATCTCGGGGCGGGACCACTGGTCGTCACCTGGTCCTTTCAGCTTATGTTGGTCAAGATGATAGAAAAGAAGGGCAACGTCAACCGACAAAAACCTCTTCTGTCTAAGGTAAACCGTCAAGAACTGGACCTAGTGCGAGATGCAAGTGCCGGAGCGGACGTCTCTCCTTGCCGGTCAAGTGTGTGCGCGGATGTCGACTGCCAGAAGGAAGTTGTCTGCTCACCGTAAGTCTCAAAGGTTTCGCGGGGGAAGTGCATTTTTGTTTTCGCTTTTTGGCACCGCTTCAAGGCCAAAGAACTCATCGTGCAATCGCTGGTAGTTACCGCTACGCGAGGCATGTATCGATTTGTGTCCTATTTCTTCCACAGCAAAGGCGCCAAATGGTTTTGCCGCTGCGCAGGACTGGCGGGTTCTCCGTGTCACGCAAAGACCTGCGACCTCAATCCTTGCCTGGGTGACGCGATTTGTTTGACGGGCCTCAAGGGCACTGTGGAGCAATTTGTATGCCTCTGCCCCTATGGAAGAATCGGCACACGCTGCGAGATGAGTAAGTTTGATTTCAAACACAACAACTATATCTAAAAAAAGAAAACGTGAGTAGGGTTAAACCGAGCTTTGCACCAAGGCGTAAATCGTATAGGTAGCCCATTGCTACTGAGTGTGAGATTATGATCAACTTCCACAACACTTCCTCAAGGCGTAAGCTGCTTAAAACCGCCCTCCGATATGGCACCCAGTGAAAATGACCGACCCATAACGATTATAATGCAATTAAAAACCTTAAAAATGCAAGCCGTTCACACTTGTTGGTGTTAGACTGGTGGCAGCTGATAAAACCTGTCTGCTCTATGACGTCTAATCTCCGGTTAGCTCAAGGGGTAGAGCGTTCCACTGGAAATGGAAAGGTTCTGGGTTTGATACCCGGACCAGGCGGATTTTTTTCGATCGCGTACCAGTCACCCAGCTGTGTTTGGAGAATTGTGTTTGTCCTTTGTCTCTCTTGTTCCCCTTCTCCATGGATTATCTTCGCCATAACGACTTTGCTTTTGTGCGTGCGCGAATCTGAGAAAAATAAAATAACACATCTAGACAGTTGGTGAGCCCCGCTTGTAGATCTATGTTTCAACGTGTCCGGTACCGCTTGGACACGAGCCCTTCGTCACAGTTTGACAGGGCACTCGGGCCTTCGAACTCGAAATCGGGTCTAATAATTGCGGCCGCGACACATCTCGGCGTTTCGAGAAGTTCGCATAAGATGGCGCTAGTTACCTGTTAAACCACACTTCACTGTCCGCGGTAGGTATGGTAAATACGTTTCGTCCCTAATTCTTGTAGGGCGTAGATCGGGAAGTGCCTCAAACGAACAAAGTAAAGAACAACTTTATATTTATTTATTATTTCACTCTCTTTGCGCACATAAACGTTTCCCCATCTAACCGTATGCTGAGCTTCGTAATTCGCTGGGGCCCCTCTGTTGTTCATTGCGATCGGTTGTCTACATGTTCTGCAAAAAAGCAAACTCGCAGCCCTTTTTTTACAGTTAGTTGCCGTTGATTTCTAATAAAAGGCTAACCGGGGACTACTTTGTTTGTGCAGATGTGTCCATTTCGGAGATGTACTTCAAGGGCGACATCCGATCGCATTCTTCGTACGTCGAACTGTCGGTTCCCATTGACACCTCGGATAGCATCGAGTTTCGGTTAAAGTTCAACACGCACTATCCGCTGCAGACTGCTCTTCTGGCTTTCATGGGACAAGAAGGTCTGTATACGTTACATCGTTCCAATCGTGTTCTTCGATAGTTGAGTGTCGCCCACTCTGTTAAGATCATTCTATTTGCCCATTATAATGCTATTTTTTAGGCCAACACAAACCGTAATACGTAATCGAACCAAACGCAGAGAGCGCAACACGGTTCTATAAACAAAACAATTGCCGGTCATTCGCCATTTTTTTTTTTTCACAGAGTCAATGCTGCCATTAATATTGCTAGTTCTATATAATGTGGTAATTTTCGGACGCTAACATGACTGAAAACGTTGATGTGCGACTAAGTAAAACGCGAAAAAAGTTCAATGTATGTTTGCGCCATCTGTGTCCCGCGTTCTGACTCTGCGGACTGTCCAATCAAGAGCGGCCAAAACGAAAGAGAGGCATGCATAGTAGCACCTTGTACTTCCGTGCCATGACGGAAAGATGCACTAATTTCCACCTGAACCAAGGCTCGCAGGAGATTCATGTCCGTGTTCTCTGCTCATCCGAACTAAGGCTGGTTCAGACAGCACCCTTTCCTTGCGTTTTCTTACGTTACCTAAAAGCCACCGAAGCATTCGTGTCTCGAATGTTGAGTGCCAGGTTATTTCCTTGAACCGGTAGCCACCCTTAATATCAAGCCCAGATGTCCCGGTGACTTGTGCGTAAGATTGCGTAGCCTAACGTAACGTCAGGATACGGGACTGTGTGAACCAGCCTTCCCACTTACTCGTACGATCCTTCGAACGCGTCAAACGTGTGCAAACGAAGCCCCTTTATGCAGTCTTAAAGGTCGTTCTTAAATTTCAACCCGGCAATCAGAGCTAAACATTTAACATTTTCGGTTCCTCTCCATCGCTCTTCCTCATGTGAATAAATAGGAACATTTTGCCTCTTTGCCCGCATTTCGACATACCCGAACGGCGCTACGGTAGTTTGCTTCTCCGCACAACTCCGGCGTGTGGCAGGCAGAGCACGCTCTTCAGAGCGCGGTCGATCTCTGAAGCAGATTTCGCCCAAAATTTGGTCTTTCACCGGGTGTGAGCGTTGACTGCCTAGTATGCCCCCATGGGATGCGCTGCCATACGGGCAGAAATTGAGGAAGAGGAGGATACGAGAGCGTTGGGGGACGTTAAAACACCGAGCTCCGGATGGAATGATGATTGGGTAGACGCAATAATCCTTTAGCCTTTGTCTAATAATCAAGAGGCTTTATCTCCTCTGCCAACAATCCAATAGCCTTAAACAATAATCCAATATCCTTTCTCTCCTCTGCACTGGTCGAACGCGTTTAAACGCCGGACGCCAGAGTTCACACGTTCTAACGCATTCGACGAGTGCAGGGAGACAAAATCAACTAGCTGTGTCTCTATCCACTAATAAGCAACCAGAGCTGGGGGTTCTGACGTGTTCCGCGCTCCCTCGTCCCCTCCTCACCTTCAGTTTTATCCAGCATAGCTTTGCGTCCTCAACGTTAAGTACTTGTAATTCGGAAGCTCGGGATACGCAATTTAAGCGGGAATCTGCCGCGTCTCACTCGCGCTGCGTCTCACATTGTACGCAAAAACTCGTAGTATAGTCGATGCAAGACCATTCGCCAAAAGTACCTCGCACCAGTACGTATGTCGTTTTACATGCGATAACACGTTTTAGCTTGTGGCGTTCGATGATGGATTGAATTATTATAAATATCTGCCCACTTTCTCAACTTTGTGTGTGTTTTTTTTTTTTCTTTTATCTTGATTATGCGTGATTTACCGGGTGTCTCAAATAGCGGCCAGACTCTTTAAATTGACCGCAAAATGCGGTTTCTTAACCTATCACGCTACGATTTTGTGCAGTGTTGCCCACAGGTGGTGCATTATTTTTTTTCTATAAAATTTGTAAAGAGCGAACTTACCTGAGGAAAAAGTAAAAAAATAAAAAATGGTGAACTCCTATGGAAACGCAGCGAAGCCACAGGTCTTCAAACCATAGGGCGCCTTATTGTTTGAAGACCGGTGGCTTCGCTGGGTTTCCATAGGACCTAAGCCTTTTTCTTGCTTTACTTTTTCCCCAGGTAAATTCGCTCTTTGCAAATTCTATAGAAAAAATGCACCACCTGTGAGCAACGCTGCAGAAAATCGTAGCGCGATAGGTAAAGAAACCGAATTTTGCGATCGATTTAAAGAGCCAGGCCGCTATTTGAGACACCCGGTACTTCTTTTATAATTTACGCATATAACTTGCCGATAGCTTACAGATGCTTACCTATTTAAAGCACACAAGTCAAAACAATTTATTTTATTCAAAGTGACTGGAACACCAGTGAATGTGCTTGATTTGTAGTTACACGCACTGTTTCCTGGGGCAGTAATTTCTTAAGTAATAAATTAATAATCTAAAACTAAAAGGCCCTTGGCACGTGCCTTAGTCATCGCTTTTTTAAAAGTAACTTACTTCTAATCGTTCTTACAAACAGGCTGTGCATGTGTTTCTTGGTGTTCGCACCATTTAGCAAAATGTGCGTAAATAGAGAAACTGATCTATGTCGCCTGTGACGTCAAAAGAAAAGGAGCAAGCTATCGCTAAAGTGTTATTTTTATAATTTAAATTATATTCGGTGATATAACCTTCAATGGTAATCAACTGTTCACCACCATCCTGAATTGTTTTCCCGTCGCAGATGGTGTTTGATATTTATACCGGATTGGCGGCCAGTTATCTGCAAATAAAACGATACATTGACACCAATTTATTGTCCGGGCGTAACAACACCCCGACACCACTCTTGCAGATGGGCAAGACCCAATGTCGGATTTTATGGCTGTTCTCTTGTTCGGCGGACGAATTTGGCTCTACTTCGATCTTGGTTCGGGTAAGTCACCCTATGCTCAGGAAATGCCACATAAATTAGAAATGATGGATCTCCTCCCGGCGTGCAAAGAATGTAAGTTACATTTTTTTTCCTAGAAAAAAAAGGGGAGGGGGAAAAAGGGGGCGTCGGATAAATAATAATAATAATAATAATAATGATAGTAAGGATAATAATGATAGTAAGGATAATAATAATAATAATAATCGTCGTTGTCGTCTCCTGCTTCTCCTTCTCCTCCTCCTCCTCCTCCTCAATTTATTTTTCATAAAAAATGGAAGGAGAGGGAGGAAAAAAGCTGATTCATGCAGCTTGACGACTCCTCAGTCCCCCTTCCTACAATGGCAGCCGCGGCAGCAAGCACACACACACATACAAAGATAAACAGATGACTGTTTAATACACGTACTGTCAACGATGATGAGTGCCGTGACAATAAATGACTGAGAAAACTAAAGGTTTTCATGCGGGCGAACTTGTGCCAAAACAAATATACAGTAGCCAGCGTCGCGTGCGTCGATGTTGGCGTCGGAGCGGGATGGAGTTATGGCGAAAGACTCTCTCGATGTGGCGCGCTTCGGTTGCTTTCATAGATGGTAAAAATACGGGACGGTTCGAAACTAGGACACGCGATAAATGGTGAGCATGTATACCGGAAATTTCCAGTGGTGTAACCAATTGTAAAATTAGAACTGCTCGCGGGATAAGAACTCGCCCATCCGTCTAAGAGACGCGTTTTATCGCCAACTCGGCTACGCACGCGCCATTGAAATACAGGTTGTTACATGCATCGCTTTCTCTCTTTCTCTCTCTTTCTCACACATACGCACACAAACACACACGCGCTCACTCACACACGCGTACAAACAAACACACATGCACACACGCGCGCACGCACACAAGCACACCGTAGCTTTCGTCGCCGATGGGAGTCACGTGGAGTTCATCTCTACGTGGAGTTTATCTCCCGAAAGGAGGGGCCCTGTGCAAAAGGCAGACGAACCAGACATAACACTGACGGATATACAAACTGTAGTTGGAGTCCTCGAAGGCACTTTGTGTACGCTGTATGTGACTCCGTTCTAAAGATCGGATGATGGGGCGGGCGTGTTCCTTTCACTGGAACACACGCCCGTAACTACCGCATAAAGGAATAACTGTCTCTAATAAGCATTAAGTCGTTACTGTTTTACTTGACAATACACGTAGACTGTGAAGGGCACAGTCTTGAATAAAATTAAAGACCCACTCGAAGAGGCTGTGTCACGGTTCTGTGAACGAAATTTTCACGTTACGTGAGAAATGCGAAGGTTGCCAGCCATGATCATTTCAATGTGATATGCCCATGACACCCTTGTAACATGTACGTTTGATTAAATGCGCATTGTACATAGGCTTACATGCAGCAGTTCATCCACGCAGTAGTTCACGTTTCTTTGTTGTTCAAATTTGATGTCTTAACTATGGATGTCCTTACACGACACCTCATGGCAAGGTAGCGCGCAGCAAGGCAGTCGTCAAAAGGTCACGCGTGCGAAAGTTATGACGTCAAGGTTTCACGCTTGTTTAAACACTCTCTAAAACGTTCCGGCGAGTCTGCATTTTCACAGAGCTCCCGGTAAGCCTCTCGCATCAATCTACAAGTGACTGCTTTCCTTCTCTGCGGTGTGCAAGAATCTTTTTTTGCCTGTTACTCTCTTGACTTCACCTAAACAAAAATAAAGCATTGAATTGAATGGAAGTAAATTTATTAAATTCAGAACGACTATCATCTGGAGTGCATACGTAATTGAATTGAATTGAATCAGGAGCAGCTACTCTCTGGAATCCGGACATGACTGAAATGAATGGAATTGAATTACGAACGACGACCATCCGGAATCAGGACATAACTTATTTGAACTAAACTGAACTCCCGAGTTTGGGCTTAAGTAAAATCAATTGAATTGAATTGGGGACAATTACCCTTTTAAATTTATTTCGGTTAGGGACGACGATCCTCCGGAGTCCGGACATGCTGGTCCCGTCCGTGGCGGAGCACGAGGTGGTCTTCGGTCACCACAGACGCTACGGCTGGCTGGAGACGGACGGCCAGGTCAAGGCGGTGGGCCTCTCCAAGGGACCCCTCAACTCCCTGAACGTGGCACCGTCCCTCTTCGTGGGCGGACACCCCAGCGTCCGGTTCGAGGGGCTCCCAAAGCTCGACGTCGACCTACGATCAGGGTTCGTAGGTTGGTACGTATACTCTACGTGGAAAGAATCACGCGTAAACCTCTCAAGTAGCACAGTTCTCTGGGTAAGATTTGTCGGGTGTTTTAGAGCCCCGATAGCCCATAGAAGCTAGGGTATAACCAAATTTCAATACTTTTTGGACAGAACTTGGGTAGTTTAGCCTCACATTTCCGAACAACTCTGTCCGATTGTTTGGTTGGCATCTGGCATCTTCGCCGCATGTGTGGCACATTAGAAGTTATGTGGCGAACCAAAGTAAAGTTACACCTCCCATTTATCAGGCTCGATATAGGGCCAAAAAGGTACCTTGTTTTTAACTAACACCTTGGAGCGAAACTGGTCCGAACTAGGCTCCTAGGATTGCCAAATTTGGCCCAGGTTTGACGTTTTTTCTGCCGCGCATAAAATTGAAAGGTGAGAACGCAGCTTTCAAAGTGGAACATTTCAATCTTTTTATGCCACTTTGTATGACGTTCTTTGTGAACGTTTAAAGCAGCTGTGCAACGATATTCAATTGGAATGTTTTTCTCTCTACACGAGCTTACTGGCACACCTGGGACTCAAGGATACTCACACGCAACGCCATTGGCCAAGAAACTCCTTTGTTGCGGTGTAATTTCAAGGACAAAAGCGATCATTTTCATTCAATCTCTCCTTTGCAAAATTTGATGACGTAACTCGGGGATCGCAGTACACCCAAGTGACGATATTTGAATGCGGTTCATAGATTGGACCCGAGCATTGCGTGGGCACTCGACTTGGGCTCGTGACAATTGCTAGCTCGAGAAGCATTCGGGTTGTGACCCGTGTCCAATCGCTGCAACGACGACAACAGCCGAGCCATAACAATGTCTGGAACTCAGCGCGTGTCCTGCGCTTTGCCAACCCCAGCGCGTGGCTATGATCAACACTGGCGGCATATAATCGGCTCCAGATCACGTGGCCGCTTGTTCTGGCTGCGAGTTGAGGGGGTGAACGCTGCTCGTTTTTCTTTAATTTTTTTCTGGGACTTCTATTGCGTGGGGTGAAAAACGAACGCCTGTTTCATAGGTCATTAACGTTAGGGATCCGTTTTAAGCGGTATTTGCGCAGAGTACAAAAATTGTTGCGTAGCTCCTTTAAGACCTCTTTTGTGAACTGTGTGATCCTTCCCGTCTAGCTTCGTCATAATCCCAGTATAAATAAAGAAAAACATAGCTAGCCATAATAAATTATTTATTCTGTATACAGAATAAATATGCTTATACACCATTCTTATCCATCAGTAAAAAAATGTCGAGTCATCGGCTGTGGGTACATGCACGTACGACGTATAATATACCGCAGAAGAGAACTACTGCGCATGCCCAGAACGCATTCCACAGCCCAGTAGACACAAAATGGCAGCGCGCGGAAGGCTAATATTGGAATGGTCTATCCACGTCTATAAAGTTTAGGAATCTACAGGCCAGCGTGCCATCTCCACAGCCCAGCAAATGCGCGTTCGTAGCTTCGGGGAACGAACGAAAAACGCGCAACACGCAAGAACTCTGAAGATGTTGCCTACCGGAAGCTCTTTATGGGAACGATTTCAACTGTTTTATGCTACGTCGTCAACTTAACATGTGTGCGCGCAAATGATCCGCAAGGCGAAGTCACTCTCGCGTTGCACGGTATGTAGGGCTGCAGCACTGAGGAAATATAAGCCCCTTGTCGACGAGGCACAAAAAAGCTCAAGCCGAGTATAATTGCGCGATTAATACGAGTTAAAGCACGAACCTAGCGTCCCGCGTAACCCGGCTGGAGCTCAACAGTCACTAGATGTTACTATTACGGCCCTTTCTTGCAGGGTGCGTGATCACTGCATGCTACTGTAGGGAGTATTCACAGGACGCCATATTTGAGGGCGATGTTTAGAGCGCATGCTCGGAACGAGCTCACGATAATAGGCTGCTAAGACCGGCAATCTTGGTGGTGCGGAATGCACGTGGCGAAAGAACTGTGGAAGCTCGCCGTCAGCACGCGCTCAGCAGTCGCGCACACAGCTATGTCTGCCAGTGAATACTCCCTATTACGGCCCTTTCTTGCAGGGTGCGTGAAGAGCGTTGAAGTTCGAGGCTGTTCACCGGAAACGTTTCGGCCACTGGAAGGAGTCATGAGGGGTCGGAACGTGGACCAGTGCAAGACGGCCGGCTGTGGAACCGTCCCGTGCAAAAATGCTGGCAGCTGTTTTCCTATCAAGGAAAAAAACAGGTAAGTATGCTCCTGTGAGCAAACATGACCCACGAATGCGTGGTCGGGTCGACTTCTCTACATGCATCCGATGAACGCACCCTAACTACTCAAGAATTCGTTCTCAATTAAAAAATGGCTTATGTTTCTCATTTGATCGAATGATATTATCGCGTTGATTATGTTATGACTGAATCGGCGGGACCGTACTGGTTAGAAATGATGTGTCCGGCCGGGTCGGCTCCGGTGTTCGGTCGGGTCGGGTCGTTTCGTGTCGGGTCGGGTCGGGTCGGGTTGAGCCGGGTCGGGTCGGGTCGGGTCGGGCCGGGTCGGGTCGAGTCGGGTCGGGTCGAGTCAAGTCAAGTCGGGTCGAGTCGGGTTGGGTCAAATCGGGTCGAGACGGGTTGGGTCGGGTTAGGTCGGGTCGAGTGTCATCGGTTTGGGTGACGCCAAAACTGTCGTGACCGATATTGCCTGATTTAATATAAGAAAAAGGCTTGCTGGGGTGAAGCCTATCGCGTCAATTTATTTGTCATACTAGAGTTTTTCGAGTATTCCAGGGCCATTTTTGAAATCGTATAGTTGAGCTTCGATCACTTGAAGAAACACAAGCCAAACAATTGTTGTACACTTCTCTACTCCTAGTACAAGTTCTCGGTGACCGTAGCATTCAAGACGAACATTGTTTTCCTTGCATGTCAGCGCAACCACTTTAATAACGCGACTTCTTTTTAACAGATGTTTTTGCCCAGGCGACCTCTGTGACGTCCCCCGGAACGTGTGTCCAATATCGGGACACGCATGCGCAGTTGGGTCAATCTGCACGCCTCTCTCGCAAGGATACCGGTGCCAGTGTCAGCTGGGAAAAATGGGAAGCCACTGCGAGCTCAGTGAGTGCCGTAATGCCTGTGCTCACAACTGCGCTACATCGTAAACATGTGACGAACAGGAGTCGAAGTCCCAACATCATAAGCACTCATCGTTTGGTTTTGTGGTGATTTCAACATGGCATTGCTGCACACTTCGGTCAAGTAATGACCGTCATAAGTCAATACGAAACTTACGAGGATCAAAGAGAACTTACTACTTACGTTCACTGAACGTGCTACTTGTGAGGGAAAAGCTTGATGCCAGAAATATTGGCAAGACTCAGATTCATACTGGTATTTTTTTTATTAACAAGGCGTGAAAAAATACTTCTTTGAACAAAGGCGGGACAATCCACAAAGTTCGTGCGAAGATTAGTTCAAGACAGTAAAAATGTATGGAATATGGACATGCCGCTGATTTTATGTCATGAATAGCTTATGAAGCGCACTGTTATGAATAGCTTATGAAGCATAATTTGCAGCACAACTGTCTGCAAACAGACTACACATAATCACGCTGCACGCGGACGTATTCATACTAGATTGTTTGCTGTTTTTTTTTCTGCTAAATTTACCGAAAACGTTTTCCGGCTACACTTAGTGTTGTGTCAGTGAAATGCACAAGACATTCCCGCGCTAAATATAAAGGGAAAACATTCTTCGTTAAATTTAGCAGTAAAATTTTCTGCGAAGTCTAACGTCGTGGCAGTGCAATGTACAATGTACAGCTTCCCGCTGTCTTGCAGTTTGGTCGCACAAATCTGAAGCGTGGAGAGTAAAATATAGCGATGCACGTTTCGGGCGGATAGTTGCACGCGGCTTCATTTTGTGCAGAAAGTACAAAATGAAGTCGCTTTTCATATTTACGCTGATAAAGCATATCTCCGCAAAACATAGCAGACTTTTTTTTTGCTGTATGTATGGTGTCATGCGACGTCATTTACATCCTGACGTCACATGACGTGAAGTCACCATCTCACGTGACGTGTCATTACAGGCGTCCTTAAGTGCCATGTCGACCTTACATAAAGCACGCCTATAGGGATCCCCCGCAAAACGTCGTCAGTGTCCTTTTAAATTTCAGGTTACCAGATGGAAACTCCTCGCTTCCACGAGAACAACTCGTTCCTGGCTCTGGCGGCGCCGGACATGAGACGGAGGAGCAAGCTGCGGTTTCGGCTGAGGGCCGAGGGCCCCGACGGACTCGTCCTCAGGGTCGCTCGGCAAGACGGGTCCTCGGCGTCCGACTACGCAGCCCTCGTTCTCAGTGGCGGTTACCTCACCTTCACCTTCAACCTGGGCACGGGCCCGGGAACGGACACGGTGATACGGTCCCATCGAAGGCTGAACATCGGTGACTATTCAGTCCCCGTCTTTCTTACACTCTAAGAAATCTGGAGTATCAAACTTACCCACAAAGCACTCGGGAGGGTCAATCGCTTCAGTCTACGGAGAGAGACGCCGGCGTGTGACGACGCCAAGCATACGCTTAGGCCTAAAGAAATAGTCTTCTCTCTGACGCTAAGTACGGTGAAACGTCATGCTTGTAGTCGCAGCGAATCAAGGCAGCAAAGTTAAGCGGACTGCAGTCGCCGACAGCCCAGCAACCACCGGGCGCGGCGAATCCCGTAAGTCTTACTATCGCTTAGCAGCCACTGAGATTACAGCACCAGGCAATAAGAACACAGAAGAGCGAATCACGAATCGATAAACGGGAACACATTGTCGCAGATGAAAAAGGGTCGACAAGTGTAAAAAAAATAAATAAATAAAGATTCAGTAGGCGAACTCGTGCCATAAACAAAAGAAAGAACGAGCGGCGAGAAAACAGCAGCAAGCGTCGAAGGCGGCGGCCGCGAGCGTCGGTGTGTCGGCGTAACAGCTGGCTAGCGCGAGAAAGCGAGAGTCAGTCGCCAAGTCCCCGCTAGGCTCTGTATCTGCTAGTACGCTAGGTATCTCGAACATTGTGCCTAGAATGTTTGAGCGTCGAGCACTCGGGAAACTGACTCGGCAAGGCCGGGTTGGCCTCCCTATTTATGCACTCGGTGCGTACCTCGAATATTCGAATCGAACGTCGAATCATTGGGCAAGAGTAAACGCGAATCTTCCAGAAGTACGGAGTAGCGTTCAACCATGCACGCGGTAATATTCAAAAAGATACGCGCTCCGTTTTATAAGCTGTAGGTAAATATAGCAAAGACGCTCGCTGACCCCACGGTGGACTGCAGCCTTCGTCAAGTTTCGCGCACCCGTGCAGGCTCGATTTATACGCCCGCTGTTGTGTTGACTGATCGTCATGGGCTGTACTGTAATGAGTTTTTTTTTTTCTTTTCTAAGGACACTGGGAGGTCGTGGAAGCAGGCAGGAAAGACCGGGATGGTTACCTGATTGTGGGCGGAGTCAGCACTTCTGGACAAGCGTCCAGGGGAATGGTGGCTCTGGACACGGATACTCCCATTTTCTTAGGCAAGATGACGCGTTCGTTACTTAACACTCAATTTGCGAAGACATGTCAAACATTAAAAAAGATGTATAAGCTCATTTAAAACAAAAATATCCGCCGCGGTGATTATACTAAGTTCTGGGCACAAACGTACACAGAGCGACACTGTTAGCGCAAAGGAGCGAATGCCGTGCTCGTTAGGGTATTTATAGCCTGTAAACTTTGATGCCCGTCGGTACCCTTTTCAAGGTAAAATACGAAAGAAAAAAAAAACGTCTTCGTCCTCTTCGAGTTAATGGTGTGACACAGCGTACAACGTTGTAAACGTTTTCGGCGCTGTCAGTCCATCTTTATTTTTATTGCCATCTTTATCATCATTATCAGCATCATCGCCAATTGAGAACGGGAAACAAGACAGAAGACTTGTGATAAAGAGAGAGGCTAAAGTCTAGTGCTAGATGCTAGACAGCCTGCAGACACCGTCTGAGCTGTGTTTGTTCCTTGTACTACCATCTTGTCAGAGAGGTCCTACAAAAACCATCTGCAAACACGTTCGACGCATACATGAGTAGGAACCAAACATGCTTCGATCAATCTTAAGGCGTTTCCGCAGGTGGTTCTACGTCGTCATGTCTGCGGCCAACACCACTGCTCTGTGTCCGTTTTAGAGCCAAAGCCGTGTCCGTTTTAGAGCCAAAGCCGTGTCCGTTTTAGAGCCAAAGCCGTGTCCGTTTTAGAGCCCAAGCCGTGTCCCTTTCAGAGCCAAAGCCATGTCCGTTTTAGAGCCAAAGCCGTGTCCGTTTTAGAGCCAAAGTCGTGTCCGTTTCAGAGACAAAGCTGCTAGCAGGACCGCAAGTTCGTCTGCTTCTTTTGCAGGGGTTGTGGTTACGTCAGAACGCTGAGCTCTGATTGGCTCCGATGGAGGGATAGTGGGCAGACCTCAAGGCAGCTTTCGCTTTGAGGTCTACCCACTGTCCTTCCATCAGGGCGAATGAGAGCTCGGCGTTCTGACGCCACCACAACCCCTGTAAAAGAAGCAGACGGACCTGCGCTCCGTATTGGCGAAATCTTGACACAGCAGATTCCATATGCGTAGTGTGGCCTGAACGTACCTCCTGGACCCGCTAAATTTAGTGGAAAATTTTGTGCCCTAAATGCAGGAGAAAATGTATCCGCTAAATTTAGTCGGAGTTTCTATCATGCGGCGTCGTGGCGCCACGTGTCAGCAAAATTTCACGCGATGTCATGGCGTCACTTGATGTTACAGTGTCACGTGATCAGCGTCCGCTAAATTTGAATACGGCAGTGTATCTGCGTGGAGTGGCGGGGAGCGTTTTGAACGTCGCTTTATTAAAAAAAAAAAAAAAAAAAAAAAAAACGGGATCATTTTTTTTATATTTTTCCTGTGTCCCCCTTTTACTTTTTTTAGCCTCGGGTTTTTGATATGTGACAGCGCACCAGGAGCTCGACTGTGCATTCACTTACTGCTTTACGCGTACAGGCAGCCGGAAAAGAAGTTCACCGGGCCCTGCGCTGGAGGGAATGTCTTCCTTTCGTGGCTGTATATCGCAGCTCGAAATCAACGACCGCAGCCTAAAGTTTACCGGTGAGCGGAGTCACCACCACAGGGTGTTTTCTTTTCAATCAATTTAGAACTGAAAAAAAGCTTGCGATAGGTTTTTTTAGTCCTAGTGTCAAAGTGGTGGCAATGGCAGCCACTAGAAAAGAGCCGAAGTAGGGTAAAGAGTTAAATAAGTGTTTAAAATGGGGGGTTTCTATCAAGTTTTTTTGTTTAATTTTTGGGTGAATATATGTGAACAATGTACACTGGTCCTTAATATGGCCTAACCGTTTCTTAGAGGGTGGAACAGAAAAGATTTATAGTGGGAGCTAGACGAGAGCTGCCTTATCGAAGCCGGTTAACGCTTGCGGAGCAGCAGGAGGCCGGAGAGATCGACGTCACTGGCGCCCTCTGCCGACAGCACCTAGATAAGTAGAAGGCCTCCGCACCGTCATCACAGTCAGATCGATCGAGGCCCGAAATTGGGCACGAGTGCTGCGTCAGTGTTCGGCCGGGGCTCGTATCCAATCAGCGCGTCGAAGGTCGGACTCGGGCCTAATAGCCGAGTTATCGCCATCCGACTGTGATGACGTTTGGATGGATGGTAATGGCTATACCCTTTGTAACGGGCGGCAGCTTGCGCCACCTAGCCTAACATCGTTTCATGAAGGGAGGGTAGACTATGCGGGGAGGCTTTGATTATTCTAGGTTGTGTTGGCTCTGTTAGTCTACTTTGTGTTCAAACGAAGGCAGATGATACTGTGTCCGCGGGCGTTTAGTACCAACATGATGAACCGAGTTTGTCATCAAAACACACTGAATAATGGTAATTATCTCGCGATTTCCTCGCTCTAAATATCAATCTTTTTCGCGTGTGCCACCGGCAATTCCAGATGCACTCGACGGATTGAACATCGTCAACTGCCAGAACCCCGGATGAAGCGACGTGATGACCAGCGCCGATAAGGCTTCAATGAACAGCAATGGGATGCTTATAAACGACGGTGACCGACATTCCATCGTTGAAAAGAGGCCCGAGATCAATTTCATAGACCTTGACAAAAGATGGCTCGAAAAAAAAAAAAAAATTAGGGACGACAGAAAAAAAAAATAAAGAAGTTGGATGACTTAAGGATGTTTGTGTTGATTTTTTGCGTATACCCTTGCCCTTAAGTAGGGGTCGCACTGCCCTCACATCATATAGAAAACACTGCGTCTGCTGCATACATGATGATAAAATTATTTGCATACATGACGACCCACGTGACCGGGTTGTCATACAAAGAAGAAACAGACATTGTCGACACACTGTCTCTTGTATGATGTATACGCAGGTTGACTGCGGATTTAAAAATAGCGAGCACGTTGATACCAAGTGAAAGGTGCTGGGAGAAGAAAATGAATAAAATGATACGCGGAAAAAATTGCCGTCCGATTAGCGAATATACCCGCAAAATGCACTTGTTCCGGAGGGTGTGGCCCAAAACAACCCAATCCCATTTCAACCCGTCCCGTTTCAACCCATTCCCGAAAGGACCTTCCCGTTTGAACCCGTCCCGTTTCGACCCATTCCTGAAACGACCTTCCAGTTAGAACCCGTCCCGTTTCGACCCATTCCTGAAACGCCCTTCACAGTTGAACCCGTCCCGTTTCAACCCATTCCCGAAAGGACCTTCACGTTTGAATTCGTGCCGTTTTGACCCATTCCCGAAACGACCTTCCAGTTAGAACCCGTCCCGTTTCGACCCATTCCTGAAACGCCCTTCACACTTGAACCCGTCCCGTTTCATCTCGTTCCCCCGAAACGCCCTTCTTATTCGAACCCGTACCCCAAAACACTTTTTCCGTTTGAACCCGTCACGTTTCAACCCATTTGTAAAGCACTGCACATGTCAATCTCCTAGCGAAAGGTTTCAATCGTTCTAACCCTGGTCTGCGCGCATTTTCTGTTTAAAAATATGTTCTGAAATATTTGTTCATGTCACCTTTCAGACAAGCTTCAACGTAATATATTCCTACTTCAACCACTTAATACGTTTTATTTATTTTTTTCGAGATGGTGTTTAAAACGTCCAACCGCGAAACAGATTATGTACACTGCGCGACACTGGCTGCATTTACATGGATGCGACCGAATCTAGATTCGGCTATTTTGATTGGAGTAGAAGAGGAAGAAGTAAAGAGACAGGATGCGTGCGATTGGTCCTTTTTCGATGCGATGCACTACGATTGCATTCATGTAAACCCCGCTACTGTTACCCCAAAAACGATGTTGTCGCTTTTTTTTTAAAATTTAAATTTGAATTGTTACTAGTATAGGCACCAAATTTAACCGCTTAGGTTAATGGCCCAGATGAGCACTTCCAAAGACACTAATAGTTTTGATGGCAGCTTTTTGACTCTATAAGATAAACAGCGAAAACCGACGATCGCTTGTTCACGCTAACAGTGTCGTGCTCTGTGTAATAAGAGAGTCTTAGAATAACGTACGCAAGTACTTTGGGTAAGCAAAAAGTTAACGTCGCCATAGTTTTTTTTTTTTATTATAGCGGCACTATTTTTAGAGTACCTAATGCGCTTGCGTACGTTAATCTAAAACTTCCTAGTAGTAAACTAGACATCTTGAAGAGCGATAAATCAGACAGGTTGACACACGTATGATTGCGACTTTATTTTATTTTTACAATTTTAAATACTCAACCCTCGCGCGCACAGGAAAATATCATAGTCCAGAAAATGCCGTCGCCTTATTGAGGAAATTGAACAGGGTAATCGGCGACACTCCAATTCTGATAGTTTGCTGTCCTTGCTGACCCATTTACGTCCCCTGGCCCGCACGGCGCCACCGTTTGCAAGCCTCTGAAAAGATACCGTTGTCAAGGCCTCCATCTCGTTTGATCAGATCAATAAAGCTAAATGTTAACACAGTTGGTTGCTCATGATGTACATAAAGCCCCTTCATGTTTCAAAAGTAGCGCAATGTGCGTCGATTCACGAGGCACGTGGAACGTGAGACCCTTGTGAAGATCATGGCGGCACAGAGCAGCACTGATCTAGATTTCAGACGCCATGTTCTTCCCAGAAGTGGCGCGCGGCACGTGCCTCGAGCATTTCTTCAACAACGAATGGCGCCACTTTTTCCAGGATAGAAGTATTACACTCTGATAGAGGGGCTTTAGATGTACAGGGGAACAGCGCACCCACAAAACCACGACCAACTCTATACTTACGACCACTCCATCTGGGCGCTCCCTATGGAAGAGCCTGCTCCCGGCTGATGATGATAATGATGATGATGATGATGATGCGGCAAAGAGTCTTCGTGCCCTTAGTAAAAAAAAAAACTATAAGCTATCTGTTCTAAATTTTCTTCCACCAGTGTTCCAGACGCGCTTTCTTCGCACGCACTGCATGGTAGAAATGTCATGCCTGTCTTTGTGGAGGGTCGTCTGCTCCGCCCGTGTATGGGGTTGTCTGAGTCAGCCGTCGTTTTAAAACCCAGTGCATATGCTAGCATCGCCTCTGAGTGAAGCCGGCGATCT